GCATCTGTGAAGGAATAAACAGAGTTAACATTTCGGGTCTGGTGACCCTTCCTCAGACCTGTTCTGGTGACCCTTCCTCAGACCTGTTCTGAGGAAGGGTCACCGGACCCGAAACGTTAACTCTGTTTCCTCCTTCACAGATGCTGCCAGACCTGCTGAGCTTTTCCAGCAACTTTGTTTTTGTACTTTTTACAAGATGCACTGCAGAAATTCACCAAAGATCCTAAGACAGCACCTTCCAAACCCACGATCACTTCTATGGAGAAGGACAAAGGCAGGGGATATATGGAAATGCCACTGCATTCAAGTTCCCCTCCAAGCCACTCACCATCCTGACTTGGCAATATATCACCGTTCTTTGACTATCGCTTGGTCAAATTCCTAGAATTCCATCTCTAATGGCATTGTGGGTCAACCCACAGCAGGAGGACTGCAGCTGTTGAAGAAGGCAGCTCTCTACCACCTTCTCAAGGGCAACTAGGGACGAGCAATAAATGCTGGCCAGCCAGCGGCACCCATATCATACAAAATGAATACATTTTTAAAAAAATCAATTGAAGATATCTGGTCATCATGGACGAGTTAGAGCAATGGGTCTGTTTTCAGGCTATACAACTCTATGACTCAATACATAGTTTGAGGCATCAGGAGGTACCAATAACTGAATGGACCATCATTTATCTTCAGCTGAAAGACTTTGGATGGGAGTCTTTCCCCAATGCACCTTGGTTACAGCTGCCCTGTAGGCAGTTTCACTGTGATGCTGACATTGGGACACTCTTCCCAGACTGCTTCACTGTGACGCTGACCATGGGACTGTCTTCCCTGACTGCTTCACTGTGATGCTGACTGTGGGACTCTCTTCTCAGACTGCTTCACTGTGATGCTGACCGTGGGACACTCTTCCCAAACTGCATCACTGTGAGAGAGAGAGAAAACTCACAGATACCAAGAACTGCAGGTGCTGGATGAAGGGTCCCAACCCAAAGAGTTGACTTTCCCGTTCCTCTGATGCTGCCTGACCTGCTGTGTTCCTCCAGCTCCACAGTATGTTGAGAGAGAAAACTCAAGCATTTTGCTGTAGCAGGGAGGAATGTATGGCAGCTTCAAAACCCCAACAGCTACTGGAAACTAAACTAAAACCCTGGTTCTATGGGAGCATAACTCCACCCATTCACACTACTTTTACTGTTCCAAATTTTCAAACAAAATCCAAAGGCCTCACAAGCTGTTTACTTTATTGGCTTGGAACAGATTGCACTTCACCTCTGTCTCAACCTCTCTTCATAAAAAAAAGGACAGAATACACCTCTTAAAGCCGCAGTGCCGTCACAGGCAGTATGTTCCTGCTAGCATGAAGGGTAATGTTGATAGGGGTAGGAAACAATGGATGATGAAAGATATTGAGGCTCTGTTAAGAATAAGAAAGAAGCATATGTAAGGTATGGACAACTGGAGTCAAGTAAATCTCTTGACGAGTATAAGGAGAGTAGGGACATTCTTAAGAGGGAAATCAGGGCAGCAAAAAAGGATATGATATAGCCTTGGTGGGAAAGGTTAAGGATAATCCAAAGAGATTCTACAAGTACATTAAGAGCAAAACAACAACTGGAAAAGATTAGGGCCCTGAGAGATCAACGAGATCATCTATGTATGGAACCACAGGTGACAGGAGAGATACTAAACAAATATTTTGCATCAGAATTTACTGTAGAGAAAGACATGGAAGCTAGCGAACTCGGGGAAGTAAATATTGATGTCTTGAAAACAGTCCACATTACAGAACAGGAGATGCTGAAGGTCTTAAAAAACATAAACGTGGATAAACCTCCGGGGCCTGACGAGTGTATCTCAGGACATTGTGGGAAGCTAGGGAAGAAATTACAGGGCCCCGAACGAAGATATTTGTATCATCTAAAGCCGGGAGTGAGATGTCAGAGGATTGGAGGGTGGCTAGTGTTGTACCTTTTAAGAAAAGCTATAAGGGGAAACCTGGGAACTATAGACCAGTGAATTGGACATCAGTGGTGGGTAAGTTATTGCGGGGGATTCTGAGAGATAGGATTTACATGCCTCTGGAGAGGCAGGAATGATTAGGGATAGTCAGCATGATTTTGTAAAAGATTAATGAAGTCAGAGGAGTCGACATTGTCTGCATGGAGTTTAGTAAGGTCAGAAGTCACACTACGCCAGGTTATAGTCCAACAGGTTTATTTGAAATCGCAAGCTTTCAGAGCGCTGCTCCTTCATTAGCTGAAGTAGAGGGAAGCACACAGGCACAGAATTTATAGGCAGAGAGATCAAAAGATACTACAAATGGTGTGAGTGGAGTGTCGACAGGATGAATAACAAGTCAGACTAACAGCTAACTTAAAAGGAAATTCCAAAATCCTCTAATCGTCTATTAGCACATCAATTGTAAAAGTACGGTAAAAGAAGGAGTAGAGATATCAGGGTACAAAAATTGGATTTACCTATGGAGTCAAGAGGCCTGGTTAAGGTATTAAATGAAAACTGCATCAATCCTTACATCTACGGCAAATGCTGTGCAGGCCATGGTGACAGAAGAGGGAACATTGTCTTTGGCGCATTCAAAATTGATCAGACAACGGTATTAGATAAGTTGTCAGTAGTTGAAAAGCCATAAGTAGATGTCTTGGATGAATACATTGTTTCTATTTAAATAATACCCATTGTGCAAAGTTACAGGGAAAAGGTAGATTAGCTTCTACAAAATCAGAGAGCTAGTGCAGACGCAACAGGCCCAATGGCTACCTTTTGTACCAAAATGATTGTTGTTTCTGAAAATTAATATAGTGGGTCTGAACAGATGAATGAACACTGAGAAACAGGCATCCAAAGTGTGAAGAACTATACACCAAATAGCTCTGGAAGTCTGGAGTCTTACTATGAGCATTCGTTGATAATGTCAGAAGGAATGGCAGCATCTCTGGAGTAAAACAGATTGAATGTTTTGAGTCTAACATGTAATATTAGTGTAAAATGAAAATTGGAAGCAAAGTTGATGAAATTTTCCAGTTTAGAGTGAGAACAGGCTGTGCCATTCGGTATTAGAATGTATCAATGTACTGGAAAAAGAAGTGAGGTATTGATTTTAAGTAGGAATGTAACAGAAGATGTTCCACTTTATCAACCAAACAAAAGGCATGGCTCAGAACTCTGTTTCAGAGATAGTAGGAACTGCAGATGCTGGAGAATCTGAGATAACAAGGTGCAGAGCTGGATGAACACAGCAGGCCTAGCAGCATCAGAGGAGCAGGAAAGCTGATGTTTCGGGTCTAGACCCTTTATCAGAAATGGGGGAGGGGAAGGGGGATCTGAAATAAATAGGGAGAGAGGGGGAGGCAGATAGAAGATGGATAGAGGAGAAGATAGATGGAGAGGAGACAGACAGGTCGAAGAGGCGGGGATGGAAGCAGTAAAGGTGAGTGCAGGTGGGGAGTTAGGGAGGGGGTAGGTCAGTCCAGGGAGGACGGACAGGTCAAGGGGGCAGGATGAGGTTAGTAGGTAGGAGATGGGGGTGGGGCTTGAGGTGGGGGGAGGGGATAGATGGGAGGAAGGACAGGTGAGGGAGGCAGGGACAAACTGGGCTGGTTTTGGGATGCAGTAGGGGGAGGGGAGACAACTCATCCCTCACACCTCTTCCCCGCAATAACAACCAAAACAGAATCCCCCTCGTCCTCACGTACCACCCCACCAACCTCCGGATCCAACGCATCATCCTCCGACACTTCCGCCATCTGCAATCTGACCCCACCACCAAAGACATTTTTCCCTCCCCACCCAAATCTGATTTCCGGAGGGACCACTCTCACCATGACTCCCTTGTCCATTCCACACTCCCCTCCAGCCCCACCACACCTGGCATTTTTCCCTGCAACCGCAGAAAGTGCTACACCTGCCCCTACCCCTACCGCCTCACCCCCATCCCAGGCCCCAAGAAGACTTTCCACATCAAGCAGATGTTCACATGCACATCTGCTAATGTGGTATACTGCATCCGCTGTACCCGTTGTGGCCTCCTCTACATCGGGGAAACCAAGCGGAGGCTCGGGGACCGCTTTGCGGAACACCTACGCTCGGTTCGCAATAAACAACTGCACCTCCCAGTCACGAACCATTTTAACTCCTCCTCCCATTCCTCAGACAACATGTCCATCCTGGGCCTCCTGCATTGCCACAACGATGCCACCCGAAGGTTGCAGGAACAGCACCTCATATTCCCAATGGTATCAATGTGGACTTCACAAGCTTCAAAATCTCCCCTCCCCCTACCGCATCCCAAAACCAGTCCAGCTCGTCCCTGCCTCCCTAACCTGTCCTTCCTCCCACCTATCCCCTCCTCCCACCTCAAACCCCACCCCCATCTCCTACCTACTAGCCTCATCCCGCCCCCTTGACCTGTCCGTCCTCCCTGAACTGACCTATCCCCTCCCTACCTCCCCACCTACACTCACCTTTACTGGCTCCATCCCCGCCTCTTTGACCTGTCTGTCTCCTCTCCACCTATCTTCTCCTCTATCCATCTTCTATCCAACTCCCCCTCTCTCCCTATTTATTTCAGAACCCCCTTCCCCTCCCCCATTTCTGAAGAAGGGTCTAGACACAAAATGTCAGCTTTCCTGCTCCTCTGATGCTGCTTGGCCTGCTGTGTTCATCCAGCTCTACACCTTGTTATCTCAAATAACTGTTGAGCCTTTTTGGCCGCTGTTTCCATTGCTGCTCCTGTTGCTGCTGAAGAGAGAAAGGAAGAGGAGATACAGGGGGAGTCAAAAGAGGCTGATCGTGATATGGGCTTTGGTCTTTTGATTAAATGTAATGTGCAGCATAGTTACAATTAAAAAAAACCATAAAAATATTTAATAATGAACAGGCAGATACTCATCACAGTGCCTTTTATTTGGAGGGAAGTTTGAAAGGGAAGTTGTTTAATATAAGAAGAAGTTCGGCTATGCAGACAGAGGAAGGTGATGGACATGGACTGTTTGGACCTCTGCTTATGAAAGGAGCAGAAACCCTGTGGGGAATGGTTTTATCAACATATTGTATGTCCTTCATGTAATGAAAATGGTCATGACCCAGAAACTGGAAGCTATCGAGGTGATGGAGCTAACAAAAAATGAAATTTTTTTCACTGGGCTTGGAGTAGGATGAATTTTTTTGATAATAACCAGAGATGATTCAAAGTTGGGACTGAACAGCACTCAACCTTTCGTATGCAAAAATTAAGCTTCTGTGTTTGCTTTTTGATTCAGGTGAATGGGAGAACTGGAAAATCTGGGTCCAGGAGTATTCATACCCACCTGACAGTGAGCCAGACTATACATCAATCCTTGTGCCAAATGTTGACAATGTCAGGACCAACTTTCTGCTGAACATCATAGCTAAACAAAACAGGGTAAGTGCTGAATATAAGAGTTAGAATTAGAATCCCTACAGTGTGGAAACAGGCCCTTCGGCCCAACAAGTCCACACCGAACCTCAGAGCATCCCACCCAGATCCATCCCCCCATGACCCACCACCTCCCTGAACACTACGGGCAATTTAGCATGGCCAATCTGCCTATCTTTGGACTGTGGGAGGAAACCGGAGCACCCGGAGAAAACCCACGCAGACACGGGGAGAATGTGCAAACTCCACACAGACAGTCGCCTGAGGCTGGAATCGAACCCACATCCCTGGCACTGTTAGGCAGCAGTGCTAACCACTGTGCCACCGTGTCGCCCGTAAAGAGCTTCATTGTTTTGTCGGTATAACAGTTTAACATATCCCAGATATTTGATTGTGCCTGAAAGTGTGTTAGGAAGTGCTAGTCTCGTTGGCGGTCATAAAGATTGGCGTCATCTCTCCACAGAGTAGGAAACTCAGAAGACAGTGCATAAACCACAGAGCATGTCAGTTAGTATTCAGGATATATTCTACAGCGCAGGGAAAAGTTCAACTCCTAAATAGATTGTCAGGGTAGGAATATTTCTGACATATACTCTGCTCATATCTTTACTTCTTGCCGACAACTCAATACTAAATAAATGACAATGTTCAGTTCCCTTTCTCCCGTCCCTTAAAACTTTATAAGTAAGACCGGAAACATTTTTTCATTGTGGAACTTTGATGCTAAAATCGGGCTCAGCAAAACTATTCTGCAGTATAATGGTTACCCTGATCAGATAATTTCTCACTGTACATTACGTAAACTAATGATAACTCTAAAGTAGTCATTTTGGACCTGAAAAGTGCTCAGTCTACCTTGGATTACCCTGGAAGAGTCAGAAATCTCAAAGGTTTGGCCAACAAGTGAGCCTAATTGTTTCATGCTGCAGCTGACCAATATCGATGGAACTACTGGGGATCGGTTATCTCAGTTGGCTGGATGGCAAGTTTGCAACGCAGAGTGACACCAACTGTGTGGATTCAATTCTCATGCTAGCTGATGTCACTGTGAAGGCCCTGACTACTCACCTTCACCCCTTGCCTGAGGCAGTGGTGACCCTCAGGTTAAACTCACTGACAGCCATCTCTATAATGAGACAGCAGTCCTGTGGTCCTCTGAGACTATGGTGACTTTAACTTGATGTTAGCCACAAACAAGATGCAACATATTATTTAAATGCAAAAAGCTGTGGTACAGAGGGATTTGGAGACCTCGTCCATAATCACAAAAAAAATAGTTTTCAAGTTCAGTTAGTAATAGGGAAGACAAATGGAATGAGTACCTTGAAGAAGTTACCCTCCTCCCTCTGGGAAGACCTCAGTGGATCTCTCTCCCACTGCAACACTATCTCTAAGACAAATGGAATGGTGGCTTTTATTTCAAAGGGAATGGAGTATAAAATATGAAGCTTTTGCTAAAACTATACAGGCACTATTCAGACCATAGCTGCAATACTGTAAACAGGTTTGGGTCCATTATTTAAGCAAAGATGGATTTTCAGATGGCTTTTGATAAGGTCCCTTATAAGATGTTAGTGGGCAAACTTAAAGTACAAGCAGGCTATGAGTGGTGGTGTACTGTAAAGGATCAGTGCTTGGGCCCCAGCTGATACCAGGTATGGAGGAAATGTCTTATGAGGAGAGATTGAGTAGATTGGGTTTCTACTTGTTGAATATAGAAGAATGAGAGGTGACTTTATTGAAATATACAAGATTCTTTGTCGATATGTTTGGCTCTTAACAGCCCTCTGGGCAACTAGGGAGGGGCAATAAATGCTGGCCAGTGACACCCATGTCTTGTGAGTGAAGAAAAAAATAATAGTATAGATGGTTGTGCCCCCTTGTCAGAGAGTCCAGAGGGAATAATCTCAAATAAAGGTCTCTCCTATTTAAGACGGAAATGAGGAGGAATTCCTTCTCTCAAAGTGTAGTGGATCTGTGGAATGCTTTGTCACAGAGGGCTGTTGAGGCTGTGTTTTAAGTATATTCAAGGCTGAGATGATTTTTAATCAGTAAGGGAATCAAGACGAATGGGGAAAAGACAGGAAAGTGGAGTTGACAATTATCAGATCTGCTATGATCTTATTGAATGGCAGAACAGACTTGATGAGCTGAGTGGCCTACTTCTGTTACTGTCTTATGGCCTTATTGTCAAGGCAAAAAAACATTCTGCCTATCACACAAATGAATAATGTGGTATATGAATTTCAGTGTCAGCGTGATGCCAGGTGTGGAGTTCGTATGTCACAAAGATTGGCTGATTGTATTGAACAGCGTGTCTCTTCAGCTGTCCACAACAAGCAAAGTATTAACTGCACCCAACCACCCAATGTTTGCAAAAATCACAACACACTGTTTAACATTAGATGTGAGCCTGCAATTGGACAACATATGCTGGATATTCTTGATGTCTGAGGAATTATACTAAGAACCAATTTATGATTATCATTTGGGCTGACTTTGTGGCACATTTACACGCACTGGAAACTACATGTATTAATACAGAGGGTTCTGTTCTTTACAGATAGGAAGAACATAAACACACACTGTAAATGTTTCAGCTTAATAAAATAGGTGACAGCCATTCACTGGTTAATTTCCCATGGTAATTCCCTGATTTATCAGAGTTAAGCTTTCTGGTTTAAAATTTAACAATGCAGTTCACTGTCGATCTGCATTGATGGCTGTATACATGGGTGTATGCAATGCTTCTACCAATTAAAGGCCACTTGCCAAACAATCAGCACTGTCCTCTGATGAAATACATGTCCCCCTTGAACTTCTATTCTTGAAAATGTTCTGATAACTGCAAGAGAAAAAGGCTTAAGGCCCAAGTTTCAGAAGGCAGTAAGGCATATTCAAATAATGTAAAAATCAATCATTTTATGGTCACTATTTCCCAAAGACTCCTTCACAGCAGGGTTATTTATGATTCCTTTTCCATTATATAACACCAAATTTAAAATAATCTGAACCTTCATGGTCTCTTGGATATATTGTTCCAGAATCTGATCTTGTATACGTCACAAGAATTCATTGTCCACAGTTTTAATGCTGACTTGGTTAACCCAGTCTATAGACAATTTAAAATAATCTACTATTACTGTATTACCCATGCTGCATATATCTCTAATTTCCTGATTTATAGCATGCACAACATTAGTACTTTAGCTTGTGTTCTACAAACAACTCCAATGTTCACTTTCCCTTACTATTTCTCAGTTCTGCCCAAACTGCTTCTATGTCTAGATTTTCCAATCAGAGATAAGGGTATGTTTCTCACTTTGTGGATTATATAGCATAGGTATGCGAGAGGTCCCGGGTTTAGATCCTGGACAAGCCCCCACTGTGTCGTGCCGTGGCTTCATTGGTTAAATCACCTGCCTTATAAACAGGAAATCCTGGGTTTGGGATGGCACGGTGGCTCAGTGGTTATCACTGCTGCCTCACAGTGCTACGGGCCCAAGTTCAATTCCGACCTCAGGTGACTGTCTGTGTGGAGTTTGCACACTCTCCCCGTGTCTGCATGGGTTTCCCCCAAGTGCTCCAGATTCCCCCCACAGACCAAAGATGTGCAGGCTAGGTGGATTGGCCATGCTAAATTACCAATAGTGTTCAGGGATGTGTAGATTAGGTGGTTTATGTGGGGATGGGTCTGGGTGGGATGCTCTGAGGGTCGATGTGAACTTGTTGGGCCTGTTTCCACACTATAGGGATTTTAAGAAAGATCCACTCTCACAAATATAATGAAGTATTTACTTATTAGGATGCTACCCACTGCTATTTACTTTTTCCTGTTGCCTCCTAAATATAGAATATCCTTAGGTAATCATTTCTCAATCTTGCTCACCTATAACGATCTTTCTGTAATACCAATTAAATTGTATCTATTTATCTACATTTGTGTATTCAGATAGAATGCCAATAATTCTCCCTTTTTAGCATTATTGATTGGCATGGAAGGTACGAAGGACTAGGTTGATATGATGCAATTACCACAAGAACATGGGAAAGGGTGGAAGAGGGGAGAGAATTTTTCTCATCTCATGCTGGATGGTCTAGCTGATATCCTGAGACTGTGTCCTCAGTTCTAGACTCCCCAACTAGGAAAAACATCCTCCCTGCAACTAGTCTGTCCAGCTCTGTTAGAATTTTATACTTTTCAATCAGGTCCCTTCTCATCGTTCTAAAATCCCGTGAATAGAGGCCCAGCTAAACAATCAGTCCTCAGAGGATAACCTGCCATGCCTGGTATCAGCCCAGTGAACCTCCACTGCACTCCCCCTATGGCAAGTATTTCCTTTCTTAGGTAGGAAGACCAAAACTGCCTGCAATACTTGACATATGGTCTCATGAAGGTCCTGTATAGCTGTAGTAAAACATCCACACTTCAGAACTTAAATCCTATTTGCCTTCCAAGTTGCTTGTAAATCCATTTGTAAATCTACACTACACAATATATTATCATTAAAAAAAGACTCTTTGTTCTGTTTTTCATGCCAAAGCATTTAGCTTCACATTTAGCTATGTTGTACCGTATCTGCATGTGTTTGCCAACTCATTCAACTTGTCTCAATTACCTTGAAGCCTCCTTGCATCCTCCTCACAGCTCACATTTCTGCCCAATTTTGTGTTGTCAGTAAACCTGGAAATGTTGCACTTGGTTCCCTCAGCCACATAATTTGTATCTGGCATGAATAGCTGGGGCCCAAGCACTGATCTATTACAGTGCCCCAGTGTCACTGCCTGCTTGTATGCTAAGTTTGCCCACGAACCTTTTATTGAGACACCTCTTCAAAAGCCATCTAAAAATCCAGTACACATCCAATGGTTTTCTCTTAACTATTCAACATCCTGAAAAAACTGCGGTACATTTAGTACGCATGATTTTTCTTTCATAAACCTATGCTGTCTTTGTTCAGTCCTGTTAATGCATTCCAAATGCTGTGGGAGCACATCTTGTATTATAGACTCTAGCATTTTCCCCACTACCGAGGTTAGGCTAACTGGTCTGTAATTCTTTACTTTTTCTCTTTCTCCCTTTTTAAATAGTGGGAGGAGTGAGATTTAGAGAGTTTAATTATTAACTGCACAACTGGAACACAATCCCTGAGTACTGAGGTCTTTTAACCAACCCATTTGGCATTCTGAGCTGCTTCTGCAAGCAGTGTGCCCAATCCCATACCTTGAATATGCATAAAGTTTTGGCAACCTACTTTGGAGAGTTATTTTTGCAAGAGAGACAGTTCAAAGAAAGAGCAAGTTACTGCAGATGCTGGAATCTGTACTGAAAACAAAAAAGGCTGGAAATCACAGTGTGTCAGGCAGCATCCACGGAGACAGAGCAAACTAATGTTTCGAGTCTGAATGTGTTATCTAGACTTGAAATGTTACATTGCTCTCTCTCCATGGGTGCTGTCTGATCCACTGTGACATCCAGTGTTTTTCTGTTTTTGGTACAGTTCAAAGAAGATTCACTAGGTTCACTCTGAGCATGAAGGAGTTATCTTTTGATGAAAGGTTAAGTGGGTTGCGTACATACTCATTTGAATTTAGAAAAATGAGAGATGTACTTAGGGAAATAAATAATATTTTGTGGGTCTTGATGCTTTCTCTCACAGAAGAACGTCGAACCTGGACGAATGGTTTAAAATTAGTGGTCTTCCATTGATGAGGAAAGCCTTTTTCTTTTAGATTGGAATTATCTTCCCAATACAACAAAACAGCTTCAGTCGTTCAATATATTTAAGGCTAGGCTAAAAGGTTTCAAATCAAGGGCATTGAGAGTTTTGAGGCCGCATGACATCAGACATGACCTTATTAATTGGCGGAGCAAGCTGGTGGGAATAAATAGCATACTGCTGCTCCTACTTCTGTGGATTGGGGTATTTTAGTTTAGTTTACTTTATCATAATTTTGTTCATATGCTATTTTATTAATTCAGCTGGTCAGAGAAACACAGCTTTATTCATTTACCTTAGCTTTGCAGAAAACCATTTTTATTTTTACTTTTCTAAGTACTGAATATCAATTCTTAAAAAAGTAGTTTTACAACAATTTAAAAAAAAATGTTAACTGAACAACGGAGATAGCAAGAACTACAGATGCTGGAGTCAGAGTCAACACAGTGTGGAGTTGGAGGAACAAAGCAGTTCAGGCAGCATCAGAGGAGTAGGGCCAGGACTCTTCTTCAGAAGATGTGTCCAGACCCGAAAAGTTGACTTTCCTGCTCTGCTGATTCTGCCTGACCTGCTGTGTTCTTCCAGCTCCACACTGTGTCAACTGAACAATGCTTCTTATTGTTTAGTGGGTATAAAATACTCTCTATATATTAAAAAAGTACATTTTCTGATATCATGACAGGCGGTTCTTCTGACTGGAGAACAGGGAACAGCAAAAACAGTCATGATTAAAGGCTATCTGAAGAGATATGATCCAGAAGTACACTTGTCCAAGAGTTTGAATTTCTCTTCTGCCACAGAACCCTATATGTTCCAGGTAATATACACATTTATGCACATGAGCTACAAATAAATTTAACGGGTCTAATATCTGATAGAAGTTATCATCTTGTTTCAATTTAAGGCTGTTTGAACCCATGGACTATACTTGTGCTGATAGTTTTACCAATGCAGCAGAATTTCAACATCAGTAGCCTCATTCAAATTAAAGCAAAATAAAAAAAAATACTCTGGAAATCTAAAATAACACAGAAAGTGCTAGAGCAGCTCAGCAGATCTGGCAGCATCTGTGGAGAGAGAAACAGAATTATTGTTTCCGGTCTAGTATGACTTTTTCAGAAATGCTTATTTCTTGATGGGATGCGGGTATCACTAGCTAGCCAGTATTTATTCCCAATTCTTGAATGCCCAGAGGGCAGTTCAGAGTCAACCACATTGCTATGGTCTGGAGCCATATGTAGGCCAGACCAGAAAAGGATGGCAGCTTTCCTTCCTAAAAGGATACTAGTGAATCAGATGGGTTTTTACGACAAACAACAATGAGTTGATGGCTGTCATTAGGCTAAATTTTTTTATTCCAGATTTTATTTTATTGAATTCAGATTTTACCCAGTGCTGTGGTAGGATTTGAATACATGCCACCTGAACATTATCCTGTGGTTCTGGATTATTAATTCTCCATGGCCAAACAGAGTATTTAAAATATTCTTTAACAAATTCATATTTCTTTCTTCCTTTAACTGCAATTTTATCCATATTTCTGTGAACATCAGCTTGGTCCTGTTTATTAACGCTGAAATTCCTCCCAATAAAATAGCTGCCCATCTCATATGCAGACAAGTCTTGTAACGTCACTTGGCCATGAGTCTATGTTCCTGTGTATGGCAGTGGTGTTCACCAAGAGTTTTGTCATCTGATCTAACATCTTCTTATATAATTTGGGAATCATACTTTGTTTTGTAATGTTACTGTGAGAGGCCTTGGGCTGTTTTATTCCAGTAAAGGTACTTTCTAATTTTGTGTTGATGGCTTTCAAATTTTTTTTTTTACTATTCGACACTTGGACAAGATAAGCCAACCTGTTTTTTTTTATTCATTCCTAGTTTGCACAAGGAGAGCCCCTGAATGCTGCCGCCAAACTAGAGGGCTAGGTTTAAGGTGAGAGGAGAAAGATGTAAAAGGGACCTAAGGGACAACTTTTTCACACCAAGAGTGGTGTGTGTATGGAATGAACTGCCAGAAGATGTGGTGGAGGCTGGTACAATTACAGCATGTAAAAGATATCAGGATGGATATATGAATAGGAAGGGTTTAGAGGGATATGGGCCAAATGCTGGTAAATGTGACTAGATTAATTTAAAATATCTGGTTGGCATGGATGAGCTGGACTGAAGGGTCTGTTTTCATGCCATACAGCTCTATGACTTTATGACTCTAATACCTCCATCACAGTGCCAGACTGCAGAGTACAGCAAAAACCAAATGAAGGCAAGACAGTTTAATTTGTTGGAATGCACATGTAGTATGATGGGGTAGCACTTTAAAATTCGTCGCAATTAGATATTTTCTCAGGACTGTGGAGCAGCCAGAATTTGAAAGCAAAGCTCACAGGTTACTGTGATATAATTGAGTAGAGCAATTGCTTTGTGTAAGTATGCTTGTTATCTTTGCAGCGAACAGTTGAAAGTTATGTGGAAAAACGTGTGGGGAGCACATATGGACCTCCAAGTGGACGGAAAATGACAATATTTGTTGATGATATCAACATGCCTGTTATTAATGAGTGGGGAGATCAGGTAAAATACTTAAGTATATCTGCTTAAACTTATCCACTGGTGGTCTTACAGCTGTCAACCTGTCTCAAAGGTGTTTTCCTGACCTTAAGTAAACTTTCAATTTTAGTGATATTTGCATATATTGGTACAGAGAAGGTTTACCAGGATGTTGCTCGATTTGGGGGATTTTAGCTATGAAGAAATGTTGGATAGACTGGGTTTGTTTTCACTGGAACACAGGAGGTTGAGGGGCAACCTAATAGAAGTTCATAAGATTGTGAATGGCATGGATACAGTGGAAAAGATGAGGCTTTTTCACAGGGTGGAAGGGTCAATTACTAGGAAACACAGGTTCAAGGTGCGAGAGGGGAAGTTTAAAAGAGATATGCAAAACGATGTTTTCACACAGAGTGGTGAGTGCCTGGAACACGTTGCCAGAGGAGGTGGTGGAAGCAGACACAATAGCAGCATTCAGAGAACACCTGGACAAATACATGAATATGAAGGGAAAAAAGGGATATTGTTCCTGCAAATGAAGACAGTTTTAGTATAGAAGGGCAAAATGTGTTGGTGCAGGCTTTGAGGACCGAATGGTCTGTTCCTGTGCTGTATTGATCTTTGTTCTCTGGCTGTGTTGCATTTGCAGTTGTGATGTCAATTATAGCTTCCAAAACATTATTGTTTTTGACTAAAGCAAGACATAACCAACGGTCAGACCAGTGTTTCAAGCTTGTGGCTGCGAAAGACTGTAGCCCTTTGCCATTGTATCAGAGATAGTAGGAACTGCAGATGCTGAAGGGCCTAGACCAGCCTTCCTGCTCCTATGATGCTGCTTGGCCTGCTGTGTTCATCCAGCTCTACACCTTGTTAGCCCTTTGCCATTGTATCCTTTTAATTTCTTACATAAAATGATGGTAGCATTTTCTAGCGTGTTGTCCACAGCTATATTAAAATGTCTACCGATATTCTGCTTGCTTAGGCTGAGCGTTTGTCATGCTATCTATAAACTTCGCAGTCAATGCGAGAACACTTTGGGATGTGCAACAGTATGGGTTTTCCTTGTGTCCTGAATGTCATTGACTATATACACATGTTGTCACTAGGGTAATAAAACACAAGTCAGCAATGTTCAAATTTAGAAAATTTACTAATGTGTTACTGTACATCTATTGGTGTCAGTTTAGGTCAGTTGGCTAGACAGCTGGTTGGTAATGCAGAGTGAGAGCAGCAGGGTGGGTTCAATTTCTGAGGCTACTATGAAGGATTCTTCTTCTCAACCTGAATCCTCACCCAAGCTGTGATGATCCTCAAGTTAAACGACCACCAGTTGCCTCTCTCTGTAATGAGACAGCAGGCTTATTGCCTGGTAAGACTATGGCAACTTTACCTGTTATACTTTGGAAATTCTAAGTGTGGAAATTTATACATTTAATGTATAATACAGCAAGAGGACTTTATAACTTGTGACAGTCTAGCATTAAAAGTCTTCACCTTACTCTATCCAGACAGTTGTCTATTTGCAAGCAACTAGTCAGTTAGTGAGTCAGTCAGTCATTCATTCAACACTGTATGGAATACAATCGGAATCTAAATAGCCACACATTTTTATGGATGGTAGGAACTGCAGATGCTGGAGAATCTGAGATACCAAGGTGTAGAGCTGGATGAACACAGCAGGCCAAGCAGCATCAGAGGAGCAGCAAATCTGATGTTTTGGGCCTAGACCCTTCTTCAGAAAATTTTTCTGAAGAAGGGTCTAGGCCTGAAATGTCAACCTTCCTGCTCCTCTGATGCTGCTTGGCCTGCTGTGTTCATCCAGCTCTACACCTTGGTATCACACATTTTTATGTTTTGTTTACTCACGGGATGTGATCATCACTGGCTGGGTCAGCATTTACTCCCGATCATTTGTTGTCATTGATAACATGATGATGAGTTGCCTTCTTGAACTGCTGAGGTCCATATGCTGTAGGTAGACACACATGCTGTTATGGAGGGAATTCCAGGAATTTGACCCAATGTCACTGAAGGAATGGCAATATATTTCCAAGTCAGAATGTTGAGTGGCTTGAAGGAGAACCTGAGATGGTAGTGTCCCCATAGTTCTTGTAGATGGGAATGGTCAAGTACTTGGAAGGTACTGCCTAAGGAATTTTGGTGAATTACTGCAGTGCATTTTGCAGATGGTACACATTGCTGCTACTGTGCGCTGATGGTAGACGGAGTTGATGTTTGTGGATGTGATGCCAATCAAGTGAGCTGCTTTGTCCTGGATGGTGTCAAGCTTCTTGAATCTTGTCGGAGCTGCATTCATCCAAGCAAGTGGGGTATATTCTATTACATTTTATTATAGGTGATGGACAGACATTGGGGAGTCAGGGATGAGTTATTTGTGAAAGCCTCCTAAACTCTGTTGATGACAATCACTTTACTGATGATTCACAGAGTAGTTTGAGAGGTGGTAATTGTCTATGTGGCTATTTTGTGTACAAGATATACCTGGGCAAATTTTCCATATGTCAGGTAAATACCAGTGTTGTCGCTGTAGAGGTTCAGCTTGGCTAGGGGTGCAGAAAGTTCTGGAGCACAAGTCTTTAGCACACTGCTGAAATACTGTCAGGGCCCATAGCCTTTGCAGTATCCAATGCTTCCAACCATTTCTTGATATCATGTGGAGAGAACCAAATTGGCTGAAGACTGATAACTGTGATGCTTGGGATGTTTGGAGGAGGCCAAGATGGATCATCCACTCAGTAGTTCTGGCTGAAAATTGTTGCAAATGCTTTAACCTGATCACTTAACACAGACTTTATATGTAGGCTTGAGTCGCTACATTATGTTAATTGTTCATAAAGGTCCAGATATCTCTCTCAATTCTCTGTAGTTATGTTAAATGAGTTAACAAATCAAAAATCACAAAGCAAACAGAAACAGAATATTGCAAATTTGTGCAAGGTAACAGATAGTTATCACAACTTCTTTACACTGTGACAGGCTACCACAAGCTTCATATATCATATGCTGAAAATTCAAATTCAGAATTTGCTATTATATCACAAATCATAAAATATGCCAAATGTGATAAAGTTAATTATTTGATGATAAGTTAATTTGTTCCTCACTATAAGTGCAAAGTATAGTCTTGCTCTCTAAATAGAAAGAGACAACTGGTGGTAAGTTGAACCTCAGTGTCACCACATCTCAGGTAGGGAGTAAACTTCAGGAGGCAGGACCTTCATGGTAACTTCACCTGGTATGGGAATTGAACCTGTACCATTGACATCACTTTGCATGAAAAACCAGCCAGCTAACTGAGCTAACCAGTTGTGGATAGAGAAGCAAACTGAAGTCCTCCATTTATAGAGTGTTCACTATTGAAAAGGCTGTGCTATGTTTCCCAAATCCCTGTTTTGGTGAAACCAATCATAGAATTAATTACCTCAATTGCAGAGGATGCTGGGACATTGAGTAAACTGAAGGAGGAGATAAACAGATTTTTAATTAGTATTGGGTTAAAGGAGTATAGAGAGCAGGCGGCAAAGTGGATTTGAGGCTGAAATAAGATCAGTCATGATCACATCAAAAGGCTGAGCCGGCTCGGAATGAAACGCCTATTCCTGCTTCTAGTTCTGAAGTGATAACGTTGTTTTTGTCCATCAGATCACGAATGAAATAGTGCGTCAGATGATAGAGATGCATGGAATGTACAACTTGGATAAACCAGGAGACTTTACGAAAATTGTTGATGTGCAACTAATGGCTGCAATGATCCACCCAGGAGGGGGACGCAATGATATTCCACAACGGTTAAAGAGGCATTTCTCAATCTTCAATTGTACCTTGCCCACCAATGCTTCAATTGACAAAATCTTTGGTAACAGTCAAATCTCAACTGTTTCTATCAATTATTCCCATTTTAGAGCAAATACTATTGTTGACCTATTCTATATCATACCTATCTAAGAAATATTATGGGGTGTTAACAGTAACGCTAACTTCATGTCACACAGAAGATAAATTGTAAAAAAAAAATTGACAATGGCTAGAAAAACAACTAATCTAAGTAATACAAAAACAGAACTTGGTGGAGAATTTCTAAAGATCTAGCAGCATCTGTGAAGAGAAAGTAGAGGTAACGTATTGAGTCTAGTGACCCTTCTTCAGAACCAATCTTTAATAAGCAAAATATTGTTGATTCATTATAATACAAAAATAACTGAATGAAATGTAAGTACCTATGAATACACTTTATGTAATGAAAATATATTACATTCAAACAAACATACGCTAACATGCAGACACAAAAATTCATCGTTTTCTGTCTGTAGAAATTCACTTTAAAAAAGGAATACTTTGGTTGATATGTCCTAGTTCTTGAAGACAAAAAGAATAGCATTTGAGATGTTGAGATGGCCTTCCAGTCTGATATTCTGGTACATAAAGACATGTTGCTGAACACATGAAGTTGTTATGTAGAACATAGAACATAGAACAGTACAGCACAGTACAGGCCCTTCAGCCCACAATGTTGTGCTGACCTATTATCCTACGAAGATCAAACTACCCTGCATACCCTACACTTCACTATCATCCATGTGCCTATCCAAGAGTCGCTTTAAAGTCTCTAAAGTATCTGACTCCACTACCACTGCCGACAGCTCATTCCACACACCCATCACTTTCTGTAAAGAACCTACCTCTGACATCTCCCCTATACCTTCCTCCAATATACCTTAAAATTATGCCCCCTCGTAAGTCATTTCCGCCCTGGGAAAAAGTCTCTAGCTATACCCTCTATCTATGCCTCTCATCATCTTGTACACCTTTATCAAGTCAACTCTCATCCTTCTTCGCTCCAATGAGAAAAAGCCCTACCTCCCTCAATCTTTCCTCATAAGACCTGCCCTCCAGTCGAGGCAGCATCCTGGTAAATCTCCTCTGCACCCTCTCTAAAGCTTCCACATCCTTCCTATAACGAGGCGACCAGAAATGAACACAATATTTCAAGTGTGGTCTAACCAGGGTTTCATAGAGCTGCAGCATAACCTTGCGGATCTTAAACTCAATTCCCCCGCCAATGAAAGCCAACACACCATATGCCTTCTTTTCAACCCTATCAACTTGGGTAGCAACTTTGAGGGATCTATGGATGTGGACCCCAAGATCCCTCTGTTCCTTCACACTGCCAAGAATTCTGCCATTAACCCTGTATTCTGTATTCAAATTTGACCTTCCAAAATGAATCACTTCACAATTTTCTGTGTTGAATTCCATCTGCCACTTCTTTGCCCAGCTCTGCATCCTGTCAATGTCCCGTTGCAACCTACAACAGCCCTCCATACTGTCCACAACTCCACCAACCTTCGTGTCACCGGCAAACTTACTAACCCATCCTTCCACTTCCTCATTTAAATCATTTATAAAGATCACAAAGAGTAGAGGTCCCAGAGCAGATCCCTGCGGAACACCACTGGTCACAGAGCTCCAGGCTGAATACTTTCCATCTACTACCACCCTCTGTCTTCTACTGGACAGCCACTTCTGTATCCAGACAGCCAAATTTTCCTGAATCCCATGCCTCCTTACTTTCTGAATGAGCCTACCGTGGGGAACCATATCAATGCCTTGCTAAAATCCATGTACACCACATCCACTGCTCTGCCTTCATCAATGTGTTTTGTCACATCCTCAAAGAATTCAATAAGGCTTGTGAGGCATGACCTGCCCCTCACAAAGCCATGCTGACTATTTCTAATCAAACTGTGCTTTTCCAAATAATCATAAATACTATCTCTCAGAATCCTCTCCAATAATTTGCCCACCACAGAAGTAAATCTAACTGATCTGTAATTCCCAGGATTAACCCTATTCCCTTTCTTGAACAAGGGAATGACATTTGCCACCCTCCTGGTTGCTGTAGTCATTCACAAAATGTTGACAAAATATAAGATGGGATCAAGAACAAAGTTGCTGGAAAAGCTCAGCAGGTCTGGCAGCATCTGTGAAGGAAAAAACAAAGTTAACGTTTTGGGTCCAGTGATCCTTCCTCAGAACTGATTGAGGCTGGGAAAATGTCAGTTTATATGCAGAAAAAAGGGAGGGGTTGGGGTAAGGAGTAAACAATAGAATAAAGCCGAAAGAGAGAGAGAGAAGAACAGTTGTACAGATAAAGAGTTGATAACGATGAGGCTGGGAGGGTGAATAGTTGTTAATGGGGACTATTAGTGACTAATCCTTCACAGATGCTGCCTGACCTGCTGAATTTTTCCAGCAACTTTGTTTTTGTTCTTGATTTACAGCATTTTTATTCTGTTTTTATTCTGTAAGATGGGACATTCATGCAACAGTAACTGAACCCGGGCTTGAGGTAACGCACTGAACCCATAACAAAGGGCTTTTTCCAGAAACGGCTAAACTGGAAAACTTCTTTCTTTCTGCATGTTGGTCATTGGCCAGTCCAAGCAATATCCATAGCAGACAGCTTGCCCTGACAGTCATTAACTAGGCAAAGGTACCTCCAGTCAATAAGCACCTTGCAAGACATGTGTCAGTAAGACATGCATTGTTAAAATGATGTCCAATGATTCATTGATCTCTTTAGAAAATAATCAATCCAGGTATCCATAATCCTTCAAACTCAAGTCCACAAAAATTTAAATATGAAGCCTTCACAACCAAAATATTGAGCAAGAGTAGGTCATTTCTTCCCTTTGCACGTGGTTGGCCAATGGTCTCATTGCTGACTACCTGGTTGAATGCTATTTTTCCACATGACTCTGAAATTCCCTAATGTCTTTAATATCTAGAATTCTACCACCTGAATCTTAGACAATGATGTTTGAATGAAATCTTATAATTTCTTAATAAGTAAGAAAATAAAAGTTAACTGGTGAATTGTCTAAACTAAATCATAAATATTACAACCCTGAGAATTTTTTTTTAAAAATTATAGGAATTATTGGAAATGGATACTTCCAATCTTCCAGAAACTTCATTCCTTCAATCAGTGCTATGATATCAAAACTTGTTCCCGCAAGCAGAATCCTCTGGCAGTGGACAAAGGTACTGATGCTGTTGTAAATGTTTAATTTTATTTTTAAATGTGCTGAGGATGTCATGAAGAAATTTGTAAAACATATCAAGGCGCATTTCTCAAAAGATAATGAGCAACATCAAAGTTAATAAAACAATTCACAAGAAAGATAGCGATGGGGACATATGCCTGGTTCACTAATGTCCATTAGGGAAGGAAACTGCATCCTTACCTAGTCTAGCCTGCATGTGAATCCAGACCCACTGCAATGACATTGAGATTTAACTGTCCTCTGGGCAATTATGGATGAGCAATAACTGCTGGCCCTCATCCATTGAATGAAAACTGTACTGCGTACAGTTCTGGTCACCACATCACCAAAAGGATGTGGATGCTTTGGAGAGAGTGCAGAGGAGGATGTTGCCTGGTACGGAGGGCGCTAGCTATGAAGAGAGGTTGAGTAGATTAGGATTATTTACATTAGAAAGATGGAGTTGAGGGGGGACCTGATTGAGGTCTACAAAATCATGAGAGGTATAGACAGGGTGGATAGCAAGAAGCTTTTTCCCAGAGTGGGGGACTCAATTACTAGGGGTCACGATTTCAAGGTGAGAGGGGAAAAGTTTAAGGGAGATATGCGTGGAAAATTCTTTACGCAGAGGGTGGTGGGTGCCTGGAACGCGTTGCCAGCGGAGGTGGTAGAGGCGGGCACGATAGCGTCATTTAAGATGTATCTAGACAGATACATGAATGGGCAGGGAGCAGAAGGATACAGATCCTTGGAAAATAGGCGACAGGTTTAGATAGAGGATCTGGATCAGCGCAGGGCCGAAGGACCTGTTCCTGTGCTGTAATTTTCTTTGTTCTTCTTTGTTCTCAATAAAAAAAAACTATGTTTTAGGTCAATTGGCTACATAGGCAGCCTGTAGTTTAGAATCATTCCAGCTGTATCAGTTCAATTCCCATTCTGGGTGAAATAAACAAATGATACTTAAAAGGGGCAGCACGGTGTCTCAGTGGTTAGCACTGCTGCCTCACAGCACTAGGACCCAGGTTCAATTCTACTCTCGGACGACTGTCTGTGTGGAGTTTGCACATTCTCCCTTTATCTGCATGGGTTTCCTCTGGGACGCTCTAATTTTCTCTCCCAGTCCAAAGATGTGCGGGCTAGGTGGACTGGCCATGCTAAATTGTCCATAGTGTTCAGGGATATGTAAATTAGGGGTGTTAGCCATGGGAAATGTAGGGTTACAGGAAAAGAGTAGGGGTATGGGCCTAAGTGGGATGCTCTTCAGAGGGTTGGTGTGGATTTGTTGGGCTGAATGGCCTGTTTCCACACTGTAAGGATTCTATGAGGACGGGTATGTATACTATTTTGTGACAAGAGCAGCCCAAGATCCAGGGAAATCTATTGTAAACCTGCTACAAAGCATAATTCAGGGGTGTATGTAAAAGTAAAGGGCTGGGGAAACTCACTCAGTAGGACTAGCAGCATCTGTGGAGACAGAAACAGAGTCAATATTTCAAGTCTGATATGACTCCACTTCAGAGCTGAAAATAATGTTTATTTTCTGTTGGGGTGAAAGATTATAAGGGTTCTCATAGTAAAGGAAAAGGGATTGCTAACGATGGTGGGAAAGATAGAAATGTAAAGAGGGTGTGAAAATGAGAAAATAAATCAGAGAGAATGTGTTTGTGATGGATTGTCATGCTTGGCAAATTTAACAGAATTGTTGGAAGACAAAGAAAGCAGGATAGATACAGGGAAAGCTA